TTACTTTTCCTAAGCTCTTTAGTTGTCAAGCTTTCCAAAAGTTTCCAGAAGTCAGTGCGCACTTTCTTTATAAAATCCCTTATTCAAAAGTATTCTTTATAAAATCCCTTATTCTTTAAGTTAGTTCTTTGTTCTTTGTCCATTGATTCATTCCCTTTTATTCTAATTAATATTCCAGATGTCTTCAAAGTTAGGTTTCTTAATTCCTTTTATTTTAATATTGCCAGAGTAGCTCCAGAGGTAGCTAGCTAAGGATTCCTTATTTAATTATCAATTGATTGATTTTCTTATATATTATATTGGAGGCCTTGGTTGTTGAGGGGGGGGGGGGGGGGGGGGGGGGGGTTTATAAATCAAGAGTCAACATTACCAGTTGTTTTTCTTCAACATGAAATGTTTCTCTGGCACCAGGGGCTCCCGGACACCTTCGAGAAGCATGAATTGGGAAACAATGTCACTGTTCTTAAAACCCTTTCATCATGTCCGACACAACCCGCACAAGTCTTCCACTCAAACATGTGCGGTATGGTGGTCGGTGTGCGTCTTCCTTGTTGCTTCATGTATCACAGTGCGGTGGCATGCAAGGCAATCATTCCTGTTTGAGGAAATACTTCAAGAATTCCATGTTATTGATTACTGTTGCAAAGGTCTGTGTCCATTGCCTTGCCATTTTACCACCCTCATTTGAGCCCATGACTCCTTGATCGCAAGCGAGAAGAAACACGGCGTTTCCATGCTCAGCAGCGTTCTGACTCCCTCAGTGTTTTCTGATCCTGACCGTCTCCCCGAGGACTGGTAGTTTTTTTTTTGTGATTATGAAACTCTTGTTCACAGATCCAAGAAAAAGAGTCCTCACTCATGCTCAAGCCCAATGAAGGATTCAGGTAGGTGGGAGCCCAATATCATTGGTTGTGATGCATCCAAAAATGTACCGTTCAGCGCCACAAATGTTATGTTGACAAGCTCTTCAGTGTGTCAAAACCTCCCCAGGTTCTTTGATATCATAAACATACCACACAAAACATTTTTTGTGTCTCATGCTCTTTTTTTCATGAGCATAAACATTGTTTTTTGGCCATTGTTTTTGGTAATCATCACATATTCCGCTGCTCTTGCATTTATTTTTTCAGTGTCAAATTCAATGTTTTGGAGCCCTGGTTTTATAACTTTTCTGCCTAAAAAACATATGTGTGCATCAAATGTTTTAATCTCTGCCAAGATTTCTTGGTATGCTTACAAGGATGTGCAGTCCAATACCTAGTGTAGCCACCATCCACAACCATATCCCAAGGGCGCCCACAAGAGTGCGCCCTTACTGTTCTAGAACCACCTCAGAGGTGCTTCTGGACATCCCTAGCGGATGGTTCTAACAACATCTGAAAGGCTGTTTTGTATAAAACTCCTTACACGGGGTTTTCGATCAACTCCCATATATATATATATACAGTATATATATATATATATATTGTAATACACCAAGCCACTAATTCTTTCCGGCGTTTTGCTTGGACTCTAAAGGATGCCCTCTTCTGGGCATAGCACCTAGCAATCCACTGGTCGCCCACGAGGCATACACGAGGCATTCTTATTTTGGTATCTCACATGTTGGATCGAAGTATCCAAAACAAAATGAAGGAAATTTGTCGGGGGGGCATCGGCTTCCATCAGTCTCCAAAATGCCGGATCTTCAGCAAGACTTATTGAGATATCAAGGTATCCTTCGATCATGCCAAAAGCTTCGGCCAAGCCTGAAACAGGACACATTTCTCTAGCGACCTGGCAACGGCTCGCGGCCTTCTCCTCGTTGGTCAAGTGCTTCAGAATGTCGACACGCTGCAACCTGGGCTGGCACAGTGTTGACCCCACTTCAGACTGGAACGTAAAATGCTCAGTATCAGCATCTCCAGGGTGGAGATTCATGTTGGATCATTCTTGTACAGCATCCTTTGAACAAACCACTCCACCTGAGGCGAAGTTACTTTACGAGATGTCTTGTGGCCACTGAGTGCCAAGCAAAATAGCAAAGCCTGCATCCGACCATTCAAGGTGAACGCATGGGGCAACCCGAAGACTTGGACCCAATGGACCAATGGCTGATCATGATTTTCCAAAACCTCTAGGGGTTTGCTACTGTTGCAGGGCAAGGGCCACCAATCCAAGCAGTTCCATGATTCCTGCGCAAGAAACCCTACAGGAGTTCGTATTAGGTAGACAACCAGCTTGTCACAGTGGCACAAGCACCCTGCCACACACATGGCAATGACTACCCCACAGTCCATCCAAGCCATGACCTGGGGTGGACAGGCACAAGGCACAGATGCCAACACTGCAGAAAGCAAGCTACCACAGGGCAGCTGATCCTAAAGGATTCCTGGTTGAAACCCTGCCCAAGGCAGAAGGGAAAGAACTCCTTTTGAGCCTAGAAGAATACCTTCTGAGCTAAGTCAGCTTAGTGTTGCAGAAGAAAAAAAAGCTTGTCACGTCTCCAAGCACCTAAGCACCTCTACTGATGGAAATGTCAACTCAACAGTATATCGCAAGTGGAACGTGTTCGCACCACTCTGCGCCGCTCCCACCTTCCAACTTCTTTTTCAAAGGTGCTTGCATCAACTTCCGCAGGTCCTTCAAAAAGATACCCTCATGCTGGCTGGCTTTCTTTCGGGGTGGCATGGGAAAACAATGGGAAGAACCTCTAAGGAGCAGTCCTTTTTGGGGAGGAGGGTTGAACCTTGGGATGAGGACAACAACGAGGACGCCTGCAAAAATGCCCACATCCATGTGGAATCGCACAAGCACCCATCCTACCCACGACCAAATGACCAAGAGAGCCATCAACGAACTCCACCCATTTCTTGAGCGGACCCTTGATCTTGGGATCATAGTTTGGCAGTTGGTCAATCCCCTTCAAGACATTTCGCCTCTCCTCCTTTGGGAAAACCGAACATGCACGTCATTTTTGCCGTCCTGGCGTGGTACCACAAACAGCTTCGCGCGAGTCAAGGCTTGGACCGTCGCCGCACGAGGCGCGCGGTAGAGCAGCGCCAGCTCCCCGAAGGAACTCTCACTCTCAAGGTCCAGCACCTCTGAGACGCCGAAGCGCGGGAAGCAGCGACTGGAAGCGCGAGACGCCATGGTGGGTCTTTCAATCTTTCAAAAAGGCATGCTTAGAAGATTTGCATTCTAACCTAGCAGCTCCAATACTTTTGTGTTGCCCTTGTGGGCGCCGTGCTGAACATGGATGTGCCCTTGGACAAGCCTTCTCTCCATCCTTGAAGACTTCAAGGTGACCCTCGGAGACAATGTAGAAGTTGTCTGCCTTGATAGATCCTTGCTGAACCACCTGGACGAGCTGTCTTCGTCTTTCAGAAAAGGCTTTTGGTTGCAGCCTGCAGAGCCTGCAGAGCCTGACACATCAACATGCAACATCAAAGCCACGATACGCCACCCCCTTCCAGTCCTGGCCTGCTGGCCCTCATCCACCTCCATGCGCCAGGCGTTGGTGGCAATCTGCTGCAGGTCGTCGTGGGACAAACCCTTTACCAAGGGTCCTAGCTTGGTGTTGGCGGTCAAGGCCCTCTCAATCAGCTCCATCTCCTGGAAGAATGGCTGGCTGCTCTGGTGGCATGTTGTGAAGAAGGCGCGGTGGGTCAAACCTTGAGACCTCACACCAACTCTCAATATTCCGTTCTCCCTCTCTCCCTCTCTCTTTCGCGGCAAAGCCCGGTGTACTTTACTTTGCCCCTGCCCTCCCTACATCAAATCTCCTCATACGCATGATTTTTGAGTACTACGGAGAGGTGCCTGTACCATGCACTGAAACATGCCCCATACCAGGCAAAGTCCTGGGAGGTCTTCTGCTTTAAGCTGGCATTCACCCAGGTGGGGTCCGAATCCACCGAACGCACTGCCTTTCGCTTGTGCCAGCTTTTCAGACCCAAAGCCTCCGAATGGAGAGGGCACGGAGGCTTGGCTTAGCTCTGGAAGGCGTGCGGCATTGAGTGAGTTTTGTGCATAGATTCCACGATGAAGTCAAAAGACATTGACATGCCCAACGTCTGGTGTTGACCAAAATGTGGATTTGAAACTTTGCAGCAAAATGTGAGCTTGAGACGAGTTTAATGAAACATGTGATGCGCGCATTCATAGTTGATAGGCATAGTAACATAATATAATCTAATACTCGTAGTTGGTCGTCATGGCCTGGCTCACAGCAGTGCCAGAATCGCTTTCCAACGCGAAGCGCATCTTTCGAGAGCTGGAATGTGATGACTGGGAAACTCCAATGGCGGGTGAAAAAATTGTATCCGAGTTGACCGATCCCTGATCCCAACGGAAGTGAAACTGCCAAACGGCAGTGCCACACCGTGCCTGAAACTTGCTGCGGGTCAACACCTTCAGAGTGACTGAGGTTTTGGCCACAATCTGCTCGCTGCAGATCTCATCTTCGCCGTCCGCCAGTAGGGCATTCTCACCGAAATGGGAGCCCTTACCGAGCTCAGAGACCTTCAGATTCAGCACGGGTGCATGTAAGGGATGTAGCTCGAAGTCAGGACCCCAAACGAATGCTCACAAACCAAATCTGTAGGCTCTGGACACCAACACAGAAAAACAACACAGCAAAAAAGTAGCTTGCTTTATCAGATTCGATCCACTCGTTCTTTTGCAGTCATAACTTCACCCCGCGTCACTTCAGCAGCAAGCAGGTCCTGCCTTGTCGCCAGAAACTTGGGCGACCCCATCAGCAATGAGGAACATCTCACTGAGGGATTGCCCAGCTTGGATGATCACCTCCTTGGTGGCTGTAGGCCCAGACATCTGGTGCGTTGTTCTTGTTGGATGTTGTTGGGGCACCAATCAAGTTATCAAATGTCTACATGAAATGGCCAAGTCTGTGCAAGGCTCGGTTTTATGTGGTGAGTTGCAATCTCAGTCTATGCTCTCCGACTTGACACCCTCATCCATCCTCCTCATCCTCTGAACAATCGAGCCTTCTGGTGGCCAATCCCCTGGTCCTTGTTTTAGGAGGACTAACCCCTAAGGGGAACCCCCTTTGGCAATTCCAAATGGCACCGGGCACACAGTGACGTGTGCTGAAGGCTGCCGCTAGGCGAGGATATTCTGATGGGTGGATCTTGGTGAAGAGGGAGATCTTCTGAATGAGGCTCCTGGGAACCGTTCTGCAGCTTTCATGGTGCTGTGGCTGTGGCAGGGTGAGATGTGCAGCCTACATCGGCTCGGGAAACTCTTAGAAGCCGCTTTGGCTTTAGACCTTGAACAACATCTTAGCTGGAGTCGGAAGATTTGCGGAAGCTCCACCGGTGAAGCTGTGAGCTCTTTTCTTGGGACTGACCCTGCACAAATCCAGTAGCAAGTCTTTGAACTGCAAAGTCCGCAAGACAGGATTCCCAAGAATGCAGTTTCATAGCTGTTCACCAGCTGGGTGGCCTGCACAACCACCAAACCAACCTGAAGCTGGCTTGACAAACTTAAATTAGGGAATGCCACTTTAGTGGTTACGTTTATCCTAGAGCCTCAGTGTGTCTATCTGAAAGACTCCATGTTGCCAGGCGTGAAAAGCAATTCTAAAGCGGTGAGCTTTTGCCGACCTCATCAATAGATGTTCCGGTCAACCTACATAGACGCTCTGGGATTGCTGCAGCCACATGAACTGATATGAACTGTGGATCATTCGAACCGAAAACAGTGAAACACCTTAACATGGCGAAGGGAGGTGGCCCGACTTCCAACGGAAATGTCGGGATGAATCATGTGCCCTGTGTCAAAACAGGCGCAATCCTTTCCGAACATGGTTGGTGCCAAGTTCCACGTGCGTTTGATGGGTGTAACACATCTTGTGGAAACCATCAAGAAGCATGATCGGCCGAGAAAGCGTCCACTCAGCTTTGAGGTTTGGTCTCTTTGGCCTCTGAAGAGTCAAGCCAAACGCCTCTTTCATTGCAAGCGTCAAGCCCTGATGAAACTCTTTTGTTTGCTTCTTACCTGGGACGGTGAACTTGACAATCGCAGAAGGTGGTTGAAACATGTTTAAACTTTTCAGGCTATTGGAATGCAATCCACATCGCACAAGGACGTCCCAGTTGCCAGAAGCCCTGTGTAGGTGATTTTATGGGTCATCAGCCGCGTGTCTGATTGGATGTCAACGAGGTCCACATCACTGACTTACAACTGGTCCTACAAGCCATCAAGCATGAATGCAGTGTGCCACAGTGTGACAGGTAGACACCCTTCAACTGCTAAGTAGGTGCCCAGATTGGTGTTTTGTAAGTGGATCTCGGTTGCACAACCTCGAAGCAAAGGTAAACAGCTGTGAAACCCACCCCGAACTCCCATGCCGAGTCAAACAAGTCATCTGCTCAAAAAGGCTATAGATGCATGTGGTGATTTGGGAGCTCGGAGTTCTGTGAGTGTGGAGGTGCTGACGGTTGGGGAGGGAATCCATGTCTGAAAACTGGACAACTTTTTGATATTTTTTTGACATTTGGACATGGTTTTAGCCTTTCTTGTTGCACCCACTTCACTGGTCACCAACATCACGGCGTCATGTTGATATTCACATCATTGCTTCCACAACATCATCCCGGCACAACGCTGCTATCTTTTTCACAAATAAATTGCATAAAGACAATGTTTTCATGGAAGAAACGTGTGATGCAATTGGAGCGGGTGGGTGGGTGTGGGTGGGTCATCGATTCATAGTACCATCAATCAGAGGCACCCCATTCTCATGGTTTTTGCAACATTTTTCATCATGAAGCCACGAATCCGACCGCAGAAACATCTCGTAGCCGTGCTGTGAGGAAGATAGGCTATTTATTGAGGCATGGGATGAAGGAACCCACACGGTTCAGCACAGGAAATGAACTACCCTGCGTTTTGCTCCAAGCATGGCCAAAACCAATGTGCCGAACATTCTAAGGATACAGGTCTCCAAATCTACACCAAGTTCACCTCTTAGCTCCAAAGTCAATTAGTTTTAAATACATCAATCCAAATCCCCCTTTCTCATGACGGCCGGTCTGTTCGTACAAACCCCTTTGCATGCACTGTCCAAGTTGCAACTATCGTGCTCCAGGAGCTCCATCATAGTCGTTCCCAGCTTCAGTCGTTCCGCGCATTGCACCGCGGTCTCCCCTTCGCCTCACGTGGTGCCGTGGCGCCGTGAAGGTCGGAGTTTCACCCAGTTGGGTCAACGTCGGAGCCCGGGCGGGATCATGCACATTTCAACCATGTCACAGTTTCTTAGGGCAAATCAAGCGAATCTACCCTCCGACTCACCAACATGGAAGTGGAAAACCACGTGTTTGTAAAGGGGGAAATTGTGTTCCAAAGGCTCATTGTCCGCTTCCATGTTAGTGAGTCAGAGTGTAACCCTATCCCGGGCTAGGTGTCTACAATCCGCGGTGTGACCCGAAAAGCTGGAAGGAGCCACAAGCGACGACAAACCATCTCGTCCGTCCCTTCTCATCCAACTCCACCGAACTTGTCCCAGTGACCATCAGTGAGCTGTGGATTGGCATCTGCTTCGATGAGGGACTTCACCAAACTCGATGCCTCTCAGGAGCACTCTCGCGCAGCAAACTCGCTGAGCGAACCGCGGAGAATAGAGTTTGATCTCGGCAATCGGTGCCCTCAGTTCTCATTTTTTTGGGGTTGGGTGTTTACTTTCCCGATCGTTCCCCAAACCGGGGCAGTTCCGGCCATTTGATCTGCAGTCTCACTGATTCCAGCATTTGACTGATCTAATCAGAACGCCGGTGTATGGCCAGTTTCTGCCCTTTTGTTAGGCCAGAAGTTAAGCCCCATTCAATCAAACAACACTAAAAATCCGAGAGAACACTCACAAATTCCTTTTTCACCAGTTACCCTTCCCTTGGGGCGCACGTTCCACTCCTTTGGGCTCTGAACCCGGCCTTCAGCTTCACTGCCTCATTGAGCGCCAAACGTTTCCGCTTGGAGCTCACCGCGTTGGCATCGCCGTTCCTCAGTCGATGGAAATTAGTTCACAGCCCACTGTAGTGGAAGACGTTGATTTTTCCTGACTTTTCAATAGTTAGACTTTTAGAGCTTGTGTATTACTGTATGCTTGTGCACTCTCTTCATTCATATGACTCTCTTCAGTCACGGTGTGGAAGACATGGAGCTTGTACATGACAGGTCAAACATGGCAATACATGGCAAACATATGAAGACACGGACCGAAACGAACTGGACCACTTATATTGACAAAATAGTCACCCTCTATGTCTATGCCGCTAACTTGATGACCACAAGAACATCATAGAATATATTGAAATATTGTATCTGTATCTATCTATCTTTACTTTTTCTTTCCTTCTTTCTACATAGTGAACATTTTTGTCAGAGGTGGCAGTAGCCTCTAATGACAGGGGCTTGTTCAGTCAGCTTCAACCTGTTTCACCCTACATCGTGGTTTAATCATGTTCAGCCACAGCCCTGATCTGACATCCTGATCCTGGCCCTGGCTGCTAGCATGTCACCACTTCCGACACACTGTAGATTGGGCGTATATCAGGTAAACTCACCACAAAACATAGTGTAACCTCAGTTGAGATACGGCACGTCATTAGTTAGAACTGCATGGAGCAATTGGTATGGACAAAGTTGATTAACATGGCTGAGTACAAACTTGTAGCAACAACAAATTCTATGATACTACAGTCCAGCTATGACATAGCTATGACCCTCAGTTGTTGCCTGGCAACAACACATTAACATGCAAATTCTGTGAACATGAACTTGAGGAACAGAATCCTAACCGCTCGTACCACTACAATTCGTTCTACTTCAAGATGTGACTCGAAGAAGTCCTGAAGTCCCAGTGTGCCCAAAACAGTTATTGCAAATACCTGGTGTCATTCCAAGAGAACAAACACTACCACTTTTACGGAGAAAACACATCAGGGTTCTTTGAAGCAAACCGACCAGTTTGGAAGCCTAAGTTGTCACCTCAGCCAAATAAACAAAAAAGGCAAACCTATTCTCCTTCGCTCCTTCTCGTTCCTGCCCAGGCGTCTTCGCCGCCTCGCGCAGTGCCTCCTGCAAATGTGAGGGTGCTCGCAGCTCCCGGCACCAAAGGTCGGCACCACGCGCATCCTCAACGCAGCGCGTGCACAGGGCGCCTGTTCAAGTGGTGTGCTCTGTGGTGGCTTTAGTTTTTATGGGGCATCCAATGAGATCCAATGGTTGGTTCATTGGCGGCATGCAGAGCTGCAAAGGATTCCATATTGATGATCCTGCAGGACTCCCCAAGAAGTTTCATAGACACACACGCATACATATATATATATAGTTGTGATTGACACAAAGGTAGCAACAAAAGGTCCTCCTTCCCTCGCACAGCCGCGTGCGTTTTCCACTCACAGCTCACCTGAAGGTTGGTACGAACGGTTGGGCGCCTCGCCCTGCAGTGTCCTCACTGCCTATGGCTCAGGTCACGGGTGACCCACCCTACACCACCCTTGCGGCCTCGCACACTCGTGGCTTCGGACGTGAACACACCTGAGTGGGTCAAGACTGGTTCCTCAGTGACCGAAAGGTTCGAAATTCACACTCATCAAAAATTCTATCAATCTTTTTCTTTGGTTGTGTGTCGATCATCCTTCTTGCTGCTGGTCTCCCATTAGAGGGATCCCAGACTCAAGCCACCTAAGGCGTGTTCTGCTGTCAGCTCGCTCTTTCAGCACTTGCAGTTCGTCATTTAGTTGATACATGCCTCGTTGCAAAGTGTATCGGAGGAAAGTTCCTTGCATCACCTTAGTTAGTGCATCAGCGAGCTGAGCTCCTGTATGAACCCATCTTAATTGAATGCCTTCGGATAGCAAATCTTTTATTGCCTTTGCTTGAAGTTGTGTACGGAATTCCTGGCAATTTGGTTGAGCAGTTCGGGTAACCAAATCATACAAAGATTTGCAATCTGTGACAGCTACTGATCGTGGCAAACACTGGGCTAAGGCTGTCGTAGATTGGATTGGTTTGGGTTCACTCTTAAAAACCTCATGTGGTCGTTTCCAATTGACTTGGGGATTTTGGATCCATGCCCAATAGAGTCTCATCCAAGATAGCTGGTCTAAGCTTGTTTGGAGCGAAGTTGTTTCGGCTGACAAAGTACTCGTAACTACTTTCTGGATCTTGCGGCAACCCGGGCTGACTGGGCATTGATAGTTCTCACTTATATCCCTATGGGTGGCCAAGATGATCATGCCTGTGTGACTTTCTGGGCTCTTGGCCGACGCAAATGATGCGTCCGAGAATAACAAGAATCTGAGATCCTTGATTGGGATGGGTTGGACTCTAATGCATGTGTCTTTGTATCGTTTTGCTTCATGAAGTACACGGTTGGCATCGTGCAACGTTTGGACCGTGGCTTTGTTGATCTCACTTTGGATGTAGCTTAGTCGACTTGAAAGATCCGGTCTCGTGTTGATGCTCGCGTACTGAAGACTTCCCACAAGTGCACGGAGCGAGTGTCTCTCTTCGGAGGTCACTTCATCCGTCAGACATGTTCGTCTGCTTGCATTCATGTGGATTGGCTCAATCTTGCTTACACACTTGGATTGGGACATGATGATACTTTTGTCTGCCTGTTGGTTCATCTCAACACCAGTGAACGTGAATTGACCTACTTTCTTTGATCCAAATGGGAATTTGGCTTCTAGCTTTGAGATTTGTTCTTCAAAGTATTGATCCCCTCCACCTAGTCCATCGTCAACATGAACTCCTAGGACCCCCGAAATTTTGCTTTGTCCTGGTTTGTATAGTACGTATGCGCATGGGTCGAAGGGTGCTGGAATGAAGTTCAAATCACGAAGGGTCCGATCCAATTCCTTATGCCACAAATAAGGAGCATCGATCAAACCGTAGGCTGATTTTTCGAGTTTGCAGATTTGATTGGGTTGAAGTTTCAATGCCTTTCGAAGTTCTTCAACAGGTTCCAGGCCTAGAACTCGATCTTCCTGCGTTTTGCCTTGCAAAAATGCAGCTTTGATATCGAAGCTTTTCAGAGTCCATCCCATGGATGATATTGCTTGCAACAAGAGCATTTTGGATTGCTTCCCAAGTGTCGGCGAGTCCCGGGGTATGCTGTCTAACTGGGGATCTTGATATCCAAGGACTACTAGACGGGCTTTCGGTTTATGGGTCTTTGGTCCTGGTCTGACGTTCTCAGTTGATCCGGTTTGAAGGTCGTCAGCATCAAGGGGTTTCCATACGCATATCCAGCGGCAACGCATTACCTGTTCCGGACACAGCTGATCCCGAAAGATTTTACTCACCGTCCCTGTGTTTAACCAATTTGTGATCTCCTTTTCAACCTTTGCTTGACGGAAGAGAGCTTGTTCTTCGGTGGACAATTGGTGCATCTTTACTTCTGTTCGGTCACGCTTGGTGGTGGTAGTCATCATGATAAGATCTGTTGCTGGTGAGTTTTCATCCCATTTCATCATTGTTTCTTGGGGAAGCAGGAATTCAGCTTTCCATCCTACGGCTTCTGAGTCTATTTGGGTTTGGCACCAGTTGACCTGATCTTCTACACTTAGTAGGGAGTCACATACGAGTTCATCACTGAGATCGGATGCTTCGCTCGGGACCGGCGCACTTGCTGCATCCTGATGACCGCCGGGGTCACTGGGCAATTCGATGCTTTGTCGGCTCGCTGGAGACACTTGACTCTCTGGAATCGAGGGCTCTTGATCTGGCTGGACCTCTGACGAATTCGATGTGTTTCCTGTTCCTACGTGTTGTGGGATTATATTGCTATCTTCTTGGCTCTCTGGTGGAGTTGCGGGTGCTTGTTCACGAATGTTGGCATTTTGTGTATCTTCGCCTTCAATCCCTGCGATCGGACTTGGAGCTCTGGGGATATGCTGGGCTTCCATGGCACTTACGGGTCGAACATGTTCAGGGCCTATCTTTACCAAGCTTCCTGCGTGATTACACCAAAGACAATGGGGACCTTCTTGTTGGATGACTCTGGCTGGACCAAACCACCCCCGTTGGGTTGGAGTCTGTCTCCATAGCATCACCCAAGTTCCCCTGTCATAGGATCCTTGGTGAGGACAGCTTCGCCGGAGAACAGCTCTTCGCAACGCAGAGCTGTTGTCTGCACAGTGAAAAGCTCGTCGTGCAGCTTCGCGGTATGCCAGCTTTTCTCGAAATCTGATTCCTTCCTGGGTGTCATCGTCTGCCAGGAGGTGCGATGGCAATTGCTCATCCGATGAGATTGATGCTGGAATTCTGGACCCTTTTCCAAAAACAAGAGTTTCTGGGGAGTATCCCTGTTTCTGGCTCAGTGCATTCTTGGCAGAAGTGCAGTGCGATAATGCTGTCTGCAGGTTGGTATATGACGTTATTGGATGTTCCTGTTCATACTTCTTGAGCATTTCCTGTAGGATTCCACCATGTCTTTCTACTTTTCCGATTTGCCAGTGTGCACCTGGTGGGGTAACTATTGCTTTGATGTTGAACTGGCCTAGAAAAGTGACAAATTCCTTGGATGTGAATTCCGTCCCTGAGTCTGTGTGAATCTCAATCGGAGCCCCTGCCCATTGGAGCCATCCATTGAGCACCTTGTCTATTGCATCATCACTGCTTTTACCTGGGCTTGCACATGCTACCTGGTAGTTTGTTCCATAGTCGATGATGTGATAGAAGTGGAAGTTTGTTCCTGCCAGATTCGTGTATACAACACCATCTATCCCAATACAGTCGTTGAAGTCTAGCTCACGTTTGATTGTAGAAGGTCTTTGATGTTTGGGTTCCTTAGTATTCTGACGTACGGAACAACTTAGGTCCATGGCAGCTTGACACAATCGGGGTGAGTACCCCTGTTGACGCAGCATTGAACACAGCTTTTGACCATGAGGGTGTCCTAGGTTCTGATGCAATTTCAGCAAGAACGATTTTTCTTCGGCTGATATGGTCTTGAACTTTGGGCCATGGTCAAAGCTCGGCATATGGAGTTGACTCGAACTCGCTCCTGTCACTTTGGTCTGATCCGGATCCAGCTCTGTGACAGGTGCTTGGTCACTGCTTGGCAGGCTGACGGTTGCCTCCTGCGGCTCGATGCTTGTTCCCGTTGCCTCGGGACTCATATTCTGGTCGGTCGAATCACCTGATGCTTCTGACTTGGATTGGGGCAAACATGCGTACATTGTGATATTGACTCTTGCGGGATGTGCTGGGCGGACTTGCTGCCGATGAGACAGGTCTTGCCAGTATTCCCAGTCCTTTTCTACTTGGATTACCCCCCCTATTCGGCTTACGATGATGGCGCGACGATATGGGGCCTCATTCTTTACCAAATCCCTTGGTGGTGGCAATGTTCGATCTGATCCCTTACATGCTTGAACTTTCTTGATTTCTTTTTCGGGGAACATGTTTTGAAGCCTCTCCAAGATTTGGTGGTTGGTGATAAAAGTCTTCCCTACTCTTGGCAACATTGGTTGGATGTCCTTGATGATTTCTTCTAGTTGTCTCTGAGGTGACATGTTCATGCTCTGCGATTCGGCCGTCTTGCCGTCAATGCTTGCACTCGTTCGACAATTGCTCCAGGGGTGTTGGTGGCAGTCGCCCACCTTGGGACTTCTGCGTGGGAGAACTCACACGGATCCGCTTGGATGCACTTTCCTCACTCGGTTGATCTATTCCTCTGGTTACAAGGGCAGCAACCCATGGCTCATGTTTCACTTTCAACATCACCTTAGCTACTTGTCTTGCAAACTTTCTTGGATAGTTCTCTGTATAGCTACTGACGGTGATTCTCCCGAGAGGCGTTGTCACGGATCCGGCAATGGGTCTGTGCTCATGATCTCGACGACACACCCGGCCATGCAACGAGGCATACATCTCTTGTGATGTCGTTCTTACAGCCATCCCCTTTTGTATGAGTTTGTTCGTTTCTGGACATGTCAACTGGCCTACGCGACACATGTCGAAATTGGCTTCCTGAGTATATGAATACAGCTCTTGCAGGCGTGGGGTCTTGAACATGATGGATTTTCGTGGCTGCTCCCAGTGCATGTGGTTTCCTAGCTGACGTGACATGCGAAGCAAGACTACTCCTAGTGCAAGTTCGAACAAGTGTGACTCTCTCTCTCTCTCGTTGAACATGTTCACACAATTGGATTGATCTCATTTCATTGAACGTGTTCCATGCGCTCCATGGTCCACAGGTGGGACTGAACCATATGTGACGGGGTCTTTGTTTCCACACCATTTGAAACAAAACACTTCTCCCCTCCTTGGTTTTGAGGTCCCCCTGCGCCCTTCCAAAACGGTTGGCTCTGCCGCCCAGCGATTGGACTTGCTTCGTCAGTTCACTGGCCTCATGACAAAACACTTCCAGCAAATGCAGACGGCTGCATCCGTTCGAGATCACTGGATCACACCTTGCTAGACTGGCTTCCTTCGAGATTTGCTGAACCAGTGCATGGAATTTATGGGGCAGACTGTGAGTCTTACCTGGACTGACATCTTTTTGGCACATGGACGATACATGTATATCAGCTTCCTCGAAGGAGTCCAGCCATGACGAGCTCATGAAGCCCGGAGGTGGGCAATGATCTCCTGCATCGCACCTTCGATGGTCTGAAGGCGGGTGTCCATGGCTGCCATTTCCGTGTAGATCTCTGGCTGGATCTCGATCTCCTGAACTGGTTCCCAGGATTCGTCCTCGGCAAGATCTGCCAAGTCCTGTGGGGTCACTTCCTGAATCGGCTTGGCCTTGGCGTTGCTCTTGATCGCTGGATGAAGTGGCCTCTGACTTGGTGATGGCCGTGGGTCTTGACTGTTCAGACCCAGTTGATGCTCGGCATAGGTCACCCTCAATGAGATGTAGTGGATGAACTTCTGATGGTTGACCTTGTTCGACGAGTGGTAGCTTGCTTGGAACCACCTCACATACTTGGCCTCCTTTTCCCACATCTCTGAGTAGGTCCGACCGAGATGGGCTGATCCAAAATCGATCTTGGTTTGCCCCATCTCGTCCAGTGATAGGAGCTTGAAGGCTTCGAACTGATCGCGGGCTTCTTCCTTCTTTTCTTCCCCCAGGACCCGTGCCAGGCGGGCACTCAGAGCGGATGCTTCGGAGGTCGGCGTGATCGTGATGCGGCTCAGGCGAACGAACGGGTTGGTCGCACGGGTGTGATTGCAACCGGGTTGAGCCCCCCTTGGAACCGATTCGAATGAGACTTTCTCATCCCCACGAACACTCGAACGTTCGTTTGGTTTCTTTGGATTCGTTTGAGTCTTGGTGGATTCGGGTGTTGCGGCTTCGAACTGTTGGATTCTACTTGTCACAAGACCTGTCCTCACCTGAAAGTTCTGTGTTGTCATGGTCTTGGCTTTTGACTGCACTTGTCCAGGCTCCTGGACAGAAACGCTTGGCAGACTTTTGCAATTCAAAGTGGCGAAGGTCTCGGCAGGTTCAGCTTCGGCATCTTGACTGGTGGGTGTGATCAGGTCATTCAAATCAACTAAAAACAAACCCTTGGCGTTCAGCTGAATAGGAATGTTGCGCTTCAGGAGAGTGCTTTTGATCACTTCACCAGACACGTCTACGGTGGCTCCGATGGCTCGGAGCAGAGTATTCGACAGCAGGAATGGTGTCCGGCCGGGCACTATCGCAATCTTGAGCTTCAGCGGTCCAATTGGGACAACGAGTGCGTGCTGGCTTTCAAGTGTCCCTTGATTCCAACATCGACACCTTTGGACCTGCTTCCGAACCTCTGGCCTCAGTGCGGCTAGGAGATTTGCTACGAAACTGCTTCCTATGACGGTCTTAGTAGCACCTGTATCTACGATTCCCAGAGCATCTCGAGTTGAAAAGCTCGAGAATGCACTGGCTTCGGTGTCATGCATCGACTTGGCTTCAGGTGATTGGGCGGTGCTAGCAAATGCACTCTCTGGCAAGCTAGTCCTGACATCAAAATTCTCGCACTCGGTGATCATCCCCCCTTTGTGGGTTAAGACAATGGCATCCCCTTCATTGGTCTTCCACAAACCCCCCAAAACACCGGTGTCCCTCGATTCACAAACACAAAAAAAATGTTTCGAATTCTCTTGAGTGGTGTTGAGCGTCCCTTCGGTCAGCTCTGGCAAATCCATGAACTCCAGTGGCAGGGCGTCCAGCTCATCGTTCACTGTCACCAGTGTCGGAGCAACAGCTGTTGATGGGGCCGACTGAGATCCACGTTGTGGGCATGCAGCCTTCCAATGGCCTTTTCGGCCACAAATCCTGCAGCTGCTCTCCATGATCCTCTGCTGGAGGCTCTTTCTATTGCCGGAAAACTTTGAAGAATACGGGGATCGCTTTCCTGTTTCACCCCCTTTCCCTTTTCCTTTGCCTTTGTTCTGACTTGTTGGCCAGAACCCACGGCTTTTGAAACGCTCTGACAGGCGGCGACGGGCATCCATGTATGATGACTGTGTCAATGCTAGATCTTCGTTGTCTTGCACTGCATCCAACATTGTGGATTCATACTCCATGATCATGGTGGCGTCCTCGTCATTTGCAAGACTCTCAATCCATTCTTCCTCGGTCCAATCATCAAGATTGTAGGTGGGCTCTTCGGATGCTTGGTCTTGACCATCAGCTTCTTGAGCCATGAACGCATTGGCCTCATAGGTTTTGGTCCTTGGATTGTTCTGCTTTCCGCTGGAGTGGACCTCATGGAAGAATCGACTCCCCAGGAGCTTCAGGTTGGATACCACCTCTCTGTACTCCAGTGAACCCTGCGATTCAACAATCAGTCTCTTCTTGTCTTCTGAGCTCAGGGCTGAGTTGCGAAGCAAGATATATGCACGAAACTCATCCATGCCGACCTTCATGCTCAGCAGCTCTTCGAATTGATGGTCGTGCCGAGCTAAATAGCTCTCATGGGTCTCGTCGGCTCTTTGAACCGTGCTGTATATTGCACGCTCAAATCTTTCGAACTTGTCCTCCAATCGGGATTTTCCCCAAACCCCTCCAAGGGCCTCCACAATGGCCTTCACCCCCTCCAAGCTTCCAACACGCAGCTTCTTTGGGTCCAGCCTAGCAACTCTCAACTCGTGGGGCAAGCAGGTGTAGTTGTTCTGGAGGCCATAGTGACGCCAGGAACTCTACTTTCCGTGACCATTCAGTGAGGTCCGTCTCACCAGGCTTGAAAGATGGAACCTGGTTCCATGGGAGATTGCTCAAACCTGCTGAGGAGGAACTGGAGCCAGCTGGATCACCTTCCGGTGGCATTGGGCTGTTTCCTCCCTGGAAACCGCAGCTCAACAACTCTGTGACAACACCACCAAAACAATGTGCAACCTGTCGACTGCCTTGCGGCCAACCAATGAATCAACCGACCAATGTCCGACCTGTCAACGTACAATGCACTGCACAATGTACAATGTTCACCAGTGTTCAGCCAGGGTCCAATTGTTCACCGTCTCAAGCAGCAACCAACGGTCAACCGACTTGTTGGGGTGCAGTGGTTCCCAACAGTGCAATGCTCACGCTTTGCAGTCAACCAATGTCAACTCGACCGACTCAACCACGCAGTCAACGACAACCACGCACAAGGGTCAGGTGTTGTAGTAGGTGTTGTCTGGAGCTTTAGCGGTAGCTCCGCTACCAATGTGGTTGACACAAAGGTAGCAACAAAAGATCCTCCTTCCCTCGCACAGCCGCGTGCGTTTTCCACTCACAGCTCACCTGAAGGTTGGTACGAACGGTTGGGCGCCTCGCCCTGCAGTGTCCTCACTGCCTATGGCTCAGGTCACGGGTGACCCACCCTACACCACCCTTGCGGCCTCGCACACTCGTGGCTTCGGACGTGAACACACCTGAGTAGGTCAAGACTGGTTCCTCAGTGACCGAAAGGTTCGAAATTCACAATATATATATATATATGTCATGTATATTTTAATAGATTATATATCATATAAACTCGCACGATCTCGCACGGGAATCCTGTCAAAGTCGCGGATGAACCCGACAGGGTGCAGGATGCTTGTGAAGCTCTGTTTCAAGTCGGGAATTGAACAAGAGTAGTGCGAGGAGCAAGTCATTTCTTTGTGCCACAGCATTCTGCTTTGTTTCTTTCAAGGGGTGCGACTTTTTTGGGGTGACCGGGGTGACCACCTCCCTCCCCACCGCCGGGCCCTCCTTCCGACGCAGGATCACCTCCCAGGCAGGTGGGGAGACGTCTGTGCGGAAGAAGTTGAGCAGGCCGCTGCAGGACTCAAAGCCTGCAGCGAAGCCGGCTTAGGGCCGTGAGGGCCGTGGATACCATGGGTGTTCCAGGAAAAATCTTCAGACATCTTTGAACTGAAACATGTGCTCTTTGCTTCAACCAGCATTAACAAGTTCCACTTCCATGGTTGTTGGAGGGGAGTTGCCAACAAGATTCGGCATTGGACCAAAACAAACGAAACAGCTCCCCAGTATGCTATTTGTTCCTGGAGGGGTTTGTTTGGAAGATGATCCCCCTGCTTGCTTTGAGTGCTGGAGGCGTGGTTAACCTTCATATGCGGTGGCATCGAATCTACTGAATCTACTGCAGGTTTCTCGTCTCCTCTCATTCAGCTCAGTCCAAGTGGGGAGTTGATATTAAAAAATTGAAGGACCGGGAATTGTCTGGTTTTAAGCACAAAAAAGTGGGATGCAATCGTTTGTGCATGGGTGAGTGAGTGCGTGACAGTGAGAGTGGGAGAGTGAGAGAGTGTGAGTGAGTGAGAGAGAGTGAGTGAGAGAGAGAGAGAGGGAGAGTGAGAGAGTGCGTGAAGGAGAGAGGGAGGGAGGGAGGGAGGGAGGGAGGGAGGGAGAGTGAGAGTGAGAGTTCAAGTGCGAGTGAGAGTGAGGGTGAGGGTGAGAGCGAGAGCGAGCGTGAGTGTGCATGCGCGGGCGTGTGGGCGTGCGCGGGCGTGTGGGCGGGCATCTGTGCGGGCGTGAGTGAGTGAGTGAGTGAGTGAGTGAGTGAGAGCGAGAGCGAGAGCGAGAGCGAGCGAGCGAGCGCGTGAGTCAGTAAGTGAGTGAGAGTGACGGTGAATGCGTGCGAGTGAGAGTGCATTTGGTTTGAGTTGAGTTGGTGCGAGCTCAGTTGGTGCGAAAGCGGGCGGGATGCCAAACTAAAAGTAAGAACCCAGGCCCGCGCGCAAAGATGTGGGAAACATGTGAATGAATCACATCGGTTTCCAAATGAGTTTGCCTTCCAAAGGTGTCCATACGAGAGAAATTGCAGGAAAGAAGCATGACATGAGACGTAGCGCATCTCCTCTCGTACTTAAGCCACAGGCTCGGGATAAGCATGGTCACCACATGAATATTGTGCTCATCATGGCAATTGGGTATATATCAATCGTTCAGTGGATCAAACAACCAATGCTTGCTCTCGCGTGCTTTCCTTGTCCGTTTTCCTCATGATCTTCTTTATATACATAGTTCCCTTTCGTGCAGTTTGGCAGAACATATCTTGAGTGAAGCACTGTCGAATTGCTGGACGACGCAGTGGAGAAACTTTGAACTCGCATTCTGGGCTGAACTGAATCACCTCCTGGAACTTATATAGGTCCACCTTTATCATCTTTCATCTCATGGACTTTGCGAGCACGAAACTGAAACCAATGTAGAATTCCAACAACCAAATTGGTTTTGAAGGACCCGTTCCGACCGTTCCACCATGTGAGCTCCAACTGGGCATTCCGGCTTTCGGATGATATGCCATCGGATGTCCGTACAAAGTCGACCGCTCCGGAGAAGTCCGACTCTTCACTTGCATGCGTAGCTGGGTGTATCTGCCGCGTTTGCCGGGCCAATTTTTTGCGCCACTGCGCCAGAAATGTCGCTGCGCCCGGTTGCGCAAATACTAACTTTTTTGACACGACCTGCCGCCAAAGCCCTGAAGAAGTACTCAGACAGGCACAAGCTTCGGTCATTCGCAGGTAATAATTTCCCTAGCAACCACTCCTGCAAAACCCAAGGAGTCAAATTAATAGCTTCTTGTTACTACTAGTAAGGCACCTGTTACTACTAGCGTGGCACTTGTTACTAGTAGCGAACCTTGTTTCCAGTGTCTTGTCTAAAAGCTCTTCAGCCCATTCGCTGCGAAGCCATCAACACCTCCACGACTTTGGCCCGTCTGTGTTCGTTAACGCCGCTCCGAGGCCCCAAAAGGCCTCTCCGCTCGAGAGAGGAGGGCGAAGCCCGGAGGGCCCCTGTCAATGAAACCTCCCAACCAGAAGCGGTTGGTTCAGGCCTCATGTTTGAAAAGAGGAACCTAGTCTTGCAACTGTCTTGCATCACGTTTTCGGTCCAATCTTCGTGGGGCAAAGCCGGGGTTGCCAAAGACTGAGGGCGGTGCAATCAAATCGTGTCAGGGGTGAAACCTTTCTGTGTATTTCTGTGTTTCTTTGACAAAGGCCGAGGTGTGATTGAGAACTACCACCGCTCATCGAAGAATGCCCCGCTGATCTGGCGAAGCAGCCTTGGCTTGCAGGGAGCCAAGCAGTCGATTGTGGCGCAAACACCAAGTATGTTGCACCTAAAGCAATAGCATAGAGAACCGCACTAGATGTTGCTAGAATCATATAGTCACCCAAGTGGCAGGTAAAACAGCTGGTGATCTCAGAAACAGCAGGGACCTTAACTCAAACAGTTGGGTCCTTCATCTGCAACACTGCGCCTTAGGAGACCCTGAAAAGCTCCAACATCACTTCCCAGCGCCACCTGCTGATCCCAAGTCATGTTGGTAGTGTTTAGACTCCTGGCTCAAGAATCGAATCACAGGCGTCCTATTTTTAAGCAAAACATCATATGGACGGCACTTGAGGGTTGGAGCTCTTATATTTTCATGTTTGGAGGACCCAATGGCTACTTCTCAATTACCTCTGTCTTGGTTGGGGAAGTTCCCCTGTGCAACTTCGGTGAATGCACTGAATGTCAATAATCCTTCCCAACGCGCCACAGGTCTTCGCCTCCCGTTCGCCTGCTGGACATGCCTGCAGTTCGGCCTTCCGTGTCCTCGGCCTGGAAGTGCAAATGGCCCAGCGCTGGAGATTTGGCGAGCTTGAAGGAAGTCAAGTGGCTATGACTTGGTGGGATGCATGATGTTGCACTGAACTTTATGAAACTAGATATTGGGAGATGATGGAGCTGGGTACGGTGGACAATGTGGAAAACATCAACAAGGAAACCCATCTGCATAATTGCAGAAGCTAGCTACTAGTAACAAGGGCACTACTACTAATAGCTAGAAGCTACTAGTACTAGTACCTTGAGCAGCTCCACCGTGCTCCACTCTCCTTCAAACGGTGGACCATGAGTTCCTCCTCGAGGCGTTGCGCCACGCCCTCGGCAGGCGCAAATGGATGCCAGGCCGTGGCAGCTGGAGTGTGACGCCCGTCAGCAAAAAAGTCCTCTTAGGCGACTCTTGGGTGTAATGATTGTAATGTAAGTTCATATTTCATGTAATTATATACTAATTGCATCTAATTGCAATATATTGCAATTATGTATGCATGCACGCGGCAACGCGTTCATGTATGTGTCACGTATCGATAATTAAGTCCAAGTCACTGAACCAAATCAGACTCAAATACACGTTTCTACTCTGTGTACAACTCCAAGTGCCTATGCCTCCAGTGTGTGCTGAGCTTTGTCGCCTTAAACGAGATCCCCTCGCTTTGCTGCTGACCCCCGGGGCCACCATCTAGAAAAAGAAAATGAAGAAGGCTTTGCTGTGAACCCCTGATTCTTGTTTGTTTGTTTCCCGGGATTCTTTCCATCTCTTCACGCGTAGCGAAATGGACCCCCACATGTAGCAACGGTATCGAGATCAACATCATCTCTGGGCGACCGGTTTTACCAAGTGCTTCACTGGTTGAACCACCAACCGCCACTGCGACAGGGATTGCGTCACCGATCACTGGGGCTCCGGTCGTCCTGATGGGCTCTTTCCACCACCTCGGTCGGTGTCCAGAAAGAGAATGATGTGTCACAAAGAGACGGCTGCCTGGGAGTTTCAGAAAAAGCAAATATAGAGACATGGTCCATCCAAAAGCGGATGTCACACAGCGGATGACTTGGGTAGGTCACCCAAAAGCGGAATGGAACACACACAAACAACGGAGAGCTCAAGGTTTCACCTCAAACGGGGCTGCAAGACAAATGGAGCCTTTAAAATCATCTCCCAAAGGCTCGGACATTTGGACATTCACTCTGACTGGCATCCGAAGGGTCCGTGCGAGGCATGGACACTTAAGCATACTTGATAACAAGAAGGACATCAGTACTGGATGTTCCCCATCGGCAAAGACCAGAACACTGCTGCCGACATTGAGCTTCTGAAGGCCTTTCGCCATTCCGAGGCTGTGCACGAAGGTGTGCGACGTGCACAACAGCAATGGAGAGGAAAAAGTCAGGATTCCCATTTCCCTGAGCCATATCTCTTGTTGCTTGCCTTGGCCATGCTGTCCTGTTACTTTCATTGCAATGACTGAGGGCACGTCCTGGATGGTGGCAAGATAAGCATCCTCATCTGGCTGCAACCTCGCAGCACGCGCCTCATCTAGCAGTGCTGCCATGCGCACTAATTACCTGTGTGAACTGTGTTGCTCGTGTGAAGTAAACAAACCACACAGTTTTTGCGATTGACTCTGACCCACCTTGGTGGACTTCCAGGATTCGGAAAAATATCTTCAAGCAGGTCCTTTAAGAACTACAATGTCAAACTGGATTGCGATTCCATCCATTTGTCTTCGCCACCTGCAATGTCTCTGATTCATTCTGATTCGTGAATCCCCTCCTTCAGTTGGAGCTTATGTGTGACAATGTGGCTCAAGAATCTGCTTCTCAAAGCTGCAGAACTCGCCAGCGAAAAACAGGCTGCGCCGCACTCTCCGTGGTGCCTCCTCCAAGAGGTTGATCGCTTGGCCCCACTGCTGATCCTGAAGAATTCCACGATCTGATCGAGATAACTTGCCAAAGGCCAAGCCTAAGCAAGCACGGCATTGTCATCAATGTTTCGACCCTTTTGAAGTTGGATGTCGAATGGATCCAAAAATCGCTGGAGGAATGGTATGTCACATGATGTTGAAGGCAGGAGCAGAAACACCTCCAATTTTGAGACATGTGGGTATTGGTACTGTGGGACCACGCGCCGCTGAAGCAAAACAAAAGGTCCTGCTCAAGGGTCAGGATGGCTTCGCCATAGGTGGCCATATCCTTGGCTGCATTGTTCTCAGAACGCAACTTTAGAATGGTCTATCTTGGAACAATGATCTTCCCGTGTTCCTTGGGAATTCGGGAGCCTGCGTCACCCCCCCCGTAACGCCCACAGCACGTCCTGAAGCCAAATGCACATCTTTGTTGTTTGTTGCAGGCCCCTCTGCGACAGGCTTTGTGTTTGTTGCGAGTTCAACGTCTCATATATAAATATATATGTGTTGGAACATGTTGGAACCAGCTCGGATCTATACAAAGACATGTTGGCAGGCTTCGGAGTAACAAGCAATCAGCATCAAAACAAATTGACTGAAAAACCATGGCCCTTGAGAACAAATGTATATATATATATATATATTTGAAAGCAGTGTCACCATTCGGATCGGCAGTACAGGTTGGACGTACGCAGGCACCCTCACGAGGCTCAGGTTGGCCGGAAAAGGAGGCGGCCGCATGGTTTGGGGTCGGGGTGGCCCTTGTAGAGACCTAGCTGGTCTAGTTTGAACATTGGTAGCGGAGCCCCCCGCTGACGGGGGGCGTCCGGGTAGATTTCCTTTCTTTTGTGTGTGCAGTCCGAGGACGGGCTGGATCACGAAAGCAGTGTCACAACGCCATGGCTAGTGAAAACCAGGGTGGAAACCACAGACGGTTTAGCGGCGACAGTCTGGATCCTCGTGAATTCAGACGATGGCGACTCTGGGCAGAAGCTCGTATGGCCTCGACCAAGGACATGTCTGCAAGTCACAGAGGCCCCTTTGTGTTTTGTTTGCTGGACGGCATTGCCCTAGAGGCAGTGGAACACCTGACGCTCGAGAAGCTGAAGGAAGAGAACGGCGATCGACACATCTGGGCTGCGTTGGAAGAGCGATTTCCGGATCGCCTATCCCACGATTGGATGGCAGAGTGCCTGAAAGAGGTGTTCGAGTTGTCTGCACGAGACGGTGAAACCGTTGCTGCTTGGACGTCTAGGGTTCAGGAGACTTTTGCAAAGTGCAAACGCAAGGTCTCCGTAGACTTTCCAACGGAGGCCAGAGGATGGATCTGCCTGAACTCCTCAGGTCTATCCTCAGACCAAA